TATATATATATATAGTTTCATTGAACAAAAAACGTTCTTTAGAGAAACTTTTCTCAGTTGTTAAACTACATTGATACGTACAAAATATTCTAACATATTTTGCATTATAAAAATGTCTTAACAAACTATGGCGTAACTAAAAGAATATAAAAAAAGAAAAATTTATTGTACCATTTTTCTTATAAGTATAATATTATTTTTATGTATATGGAATATTACTGTGATAAAATTTTTAATGCATATATTTTCTTTTCTGTTTACAGAAAGGGTTTTTAATAAAAATAGGCGGAAATAACCCGCGAGATAATATTCATAGACTTTTGAAAAAAACATTTACAAATAAATGCGCACTATATTGTTCATGGAAAGGAATAAGAAATAATTTCAGGCTATCCTATCTATATCTCATAAAAATTATGCAAAGTATGTTATAGAAAAATTAATATTAACTAAAATATTTTATTTTTCAACATACTTGATACTTTAAATGTACTTTCATATAACATTTTTTAGGAGAAATTCCTTTCGCTATGCCAGTATCACAGAAATAGATTTTGAGAACATTACGGCGGAATGGTTTCGTTTCGCTCGGCACCGGAAAAATAGAGAAGACAAAAACCAGGAAAGAGAACAAGACTAAAGACTAAAAATGAGATACAAAAATATTCCATGATATTACCCAGACAGCACAAGGATGTCCTTAGGACGTCCAAAGGGCATCCAGGACATACATGTAGGATATCCTGAGGATATCCTATTTTAATCCTCGGATCTCCTCTGGATGTCCTGAGGAAGAGTAAATAATAGCCGTACACTAGCCTCTGGATAATCCAGGGAGATCCTGTGGAACATCTTAAGGATTTCTATAGGATATGTTAGGGATATTTTTCACACGTTAAAAAGAACAAATTCTAAAATTTAAATATAAATTAAGATTGCGTTCTGTTATTTACTACCAATACTAAAAATCTAATACTAAAAATAGTTCACGTTCTTTAATATTTGAGGTTTTCGTGCTGTACATGAATAGTTTAGGTTTGGCTTCCGGGTTTGAGTCATGTAATATTTTCAAAACAATCCAATATCTGAATTCCCTATGTTGGGATTGCATCAGAAAAAAAAAGAAGAGAATAGTAACCAGATTTCCGCGTTCCGTTCCGTCTGTTTTGAATGCCTTGTATTACATGGAGCAGATTTTGAGCGGAAAAGCGGAACGGAAAATTATAAAATATTAATTTTTAACGATATTTATTGATTAAAATGCTTATATTCAATAGATAAGCTAAAAAGATAAGCATATTAATGAAAATTACAATTAATTAAGTGAAAACAATGTTAAAAAATGAATAAAAATATTTATTTGTTACCATATCGTTCCGCTTTTCCGCGCAAATTGTGCTTCATGTAATATAAGGAAAAAACATTCGCGGAACGAGCGCGTCAAATATTAAGTGGATACAGTATATTCCATCAAATTTCGGAGTCGAGTGAAGAAGAACGTTTTTATATATTTCGATTATTTTATTATTTTAAAAGTAACAGTATAATAATGGATCCAAATATCATGTTGATGATTATTATGAAGTATCTCATACAAGCACGGGATGAACCGATGAGATATGCAGAGATATTAACTATGAAAAAGGTTATCTCAATGTATATTTTATATTTGCGTTACAAGAAACTGCAAGACAAAAAAACCGTAAAATATGGGTACAGCCTATTTTTACTGAGACAAGAAGACTTCTTCAAGGTGACAGCGACAATCTACTTGTGGAGATGCGATTGGGAGATCCTGAAAAATATTTCAACTATCTCAGAATGTCACCAATAATGTTTACCGAATTACTCAATATTGTTGGACCACTCATCGAAAAACAACATGTAGTTCGACGACCAATACCGGCCAGAACGAGATTAGAGGTGACTATACGATGGTTGGCATCTGGAGACAGCATGACATCACTATCGTATGCTTACCGCATTGCCCAATGTACGCTATCACGAATTATTCCGGAAACTTGTAAAGCAATTTGACTCTCCTTAAAGGAAAAAGTTATGATTGATCCAACCGAAGAAAATTGGAGTACAATTGCAGAAGACTTTGAGACAACATGCCAATTTCCACACTGCATAGGCGCTATCGATGGGAAGCATGTCGAAATTCAAGTATGTATATTATCAATTTATTTATAATAATTTAGGTTCAATATATTACACATTGATGATGCAATTATGTATGTTTTGAAATAAGTAATGTCTTTATCACAATGATGGTTTTCAATTTTGCAGGCACCGCCTCGTAGTGGTTCCTGCTACTACAACTATAAAGGAAAGCATAGCATAAACCTGCTCGCAGTAAGTGATGCCAAGAACCGCTTCACTATTGTTGATATTGGAGCAGAAGGAAGGCAAAGCGACGGAGGTGTTTTTGAAAACAGCGGGTTACCGTATTTACTTGAAACAAATGCTCTCCATATCCCTCTACCTACGCATCTGGATAATATGGATTTGGATTTTCCGTACGTTTTGTTGGGAGATGAGGCTTTTCCTCTAAGCACACATATGATGCGACCATACCCTTGAAGTGGACGGCTAAATATCAGCAGAAAAATTTTCAACTATCGCTTGAGTCGAGCAAGGAGAACAGTTGAATGTGCTTTCGGAATTTTGGTTGCAAGATGGAGAATATATCGTCAACCTATTGTTACATGCACATCTACTGCCGTAAAAGCTGTACAAGCAACAGTTGTCTTGCATAATTTTATTATTAATAAAGAATTGGACTTACCACTTGCAGAAAGAAGGTATTGTACTATACAAGAAGAAGAGTTTAATCTCCTGGCTACAAGTAATGGATTAACAGATGTAAATTATAGAAATACTTCACAAAAGTCTGCAGTAGTGAAAATTCGAAACAACTTTGCTCATTATTTCGAGCATGTCAATCCTCTACCATGGCAGTGGGATAAAGTTTTAACTAACAACTTTTAAAATATGTAGTTTTAATTCAACGCACTTGTAAATAATTGTATTAATTAGAATTTTGTATTTGTATTTTGTTAAAGTATATAATTCAAAAAAGTTTCTCATGATATTCGTACGTAATCTGTTTTTTCGATATATATTGTGAAAATTTAATAGTATAGAGCAATTCATACAATATGTATAATGAACAACAATGTAATAAATTGAATAGAAAAATATATTTTAATCTTTATAACTTACATATTACACGAATTGAACAATTTATTATATTAAAAAAAACGTATCTATTTGGCACTCGCCCTCTTCTCAAGCTCGGCATCCTCTTCTTCTATGGCAATATCCATAAGCCTTCTTTGCAGGTTTCTGCGTCGTACGTAGGGTAGTCGCCGTAGAATGTCACCAAGCTGGTCCAAAAAACTATCCACTACATCACGTTTTTTGCTCGATACTTCATCAATGATACTAAGAAATTTATTCTCAATTTCAGCTTGCCTTTGCGCATCTGTAATTAATAATATATGCATATATATAATAAGTGTCTAATAACGATCCGAGATTGATCAATATATAATATTATTAATTATCCTTTTCTATTCTATTCTATTATATAATGGATATTTTCTATTTCCTATTGCCTGTTGCTTAGCATTATGCAAGAGCCTTTACTTTTCCTTTTCGTTCCTGATGATGCAGATCGTGATGAATCTGACGATGAATATGAAACACCCTGTATGGAATCATCAAGATCTGTAGAATTTTCAGCAGTCATGTCCATTTGCATATCTTCAACATGGGATGAATTTGCTTCCAAAAGGTGCTGGACGGAGCTGACAGTCCTGAAACAAAAATAATAATTTTATAATTTTATAAATTATTAAATCCAATTATACACAATTTGAATGTTCGTAAAATCTTAGTTAAAAAATTAATGTGGGAACATTCCATTCTAATCAGCTACAGAACGAGATTTAAAAAGGATAGTTTGTAATAAGATATTGTAAACATATTTGATGGTAAAATTATTTTTTAAACTATATGAATAATATCTGCAAAAAAATGTAAATATTTACGGTGTCGTCTTTACGGTATCATCGAGAAACCTCATTTCTTCATAATGAGCAAACGAACTTCGTAAAGGATGGCCAGATTCTGTTCCTAATCCGCTTCGTACGTATCCTTGCATCTTCTTTCTAGCCTTTATGTACGAATCTCGCAAGTATTTCCATCTCTGCTTAACTGTTTCCATAGACAGAGATCCTACGATTGTACAGAGAATTGTCTATTATTTACTTTTACACGCAGATAATATTATTCATAAAAGTCATTAAAAATGATCTTACCATCAAGTACGTTTACAATTTCTTGCCATAAACTTTCTTTTTTTAATCTTGTCCTTTCGGTTATTGGAATTGAATGATCCCATAAACCTCTTCGAGTCCGCACCAGTTCAATTAGTAACTCGTCTTGTGTGAGTATTGATTGTGTATCAGATTGTAAAGCTCCTTCATGTTGCACAACACTTTCAGTTTGATGTCTCTTTCCTTTAACATAAATAAATAAACAATTACAATTATCGCGAAATGACTCAATTGACTGTTCTGTACTATACGTACTCATAGTAACCACAGCATCGCTGTCAACATTTATAACATCTATAGTTTCATTGTATGTCTTGAAACAATGGTGGTCCAAAATTGTTCCACATGAGCCCCTAAAAATGAAGCCGCAATAGCCACACTTTGTTGCCTGTGAACAAATACAATCGTTTAATTATCTTTATTTCATCTAAAGTGAGGTTATAACTTTGCAATAGGTGTTAATAATGTTATTCTGTTCAAATTTAATATTGTGTTTCCTTACGTCATTTCATTATTATTTTTACAAAAAACTTGTTTGTTTGTTTGTTTGTTTTTACAAAAAGCAGTACAAAACCTAAAGTTAGGTTACATTTACGTGTTAATTCTATATCTATATCGAAAGAAGTGTGTAAATTACAGAAACTTTTCTCCAAAAATAATAAGCTACTATGTTTATTAAGTACTAAAAAGCATTCAAATACTTACAGGACCATCCATTTATAAAGTTTTTATATTTTCTATACACTTTTGTTGAGTTTTGTTGAGACGGTAACGGATTCCGCGGATTCCGCTCAAATGTGCGGAAAGAAACGACTCAATTCGCGGAAACGCGGAATAGTTACTTTTCTAGTTACAATTCTCTTCCGCGTTTCCGCGTTTCCGCGCTCGGCTGTGTTCCGATTCTTCACCCGATGGGTGATAGTCGGGTGAGCGGGTGATGGGCGGAGTTTAACGAAAAGTGTCTGAGAGGATAATGGAATCAGAACGCACTCCGTAGGAATCTGAAGTCTCCAAACGGCGTTGGCATCTTGGTAATGCGTGATCGCCCTATCTAGTTAGAAATTAATCAATGGTTGAGTTATCAAAGGAAAGCGGGCAAAGAAAGAAAATTATTGTGCGTTGTAACTATAAACGTTTTCACACTATCACTATTCGACTTCGCAGTTTTACTAACAATCAAAGCGTCAATATTAGTATTAACAACGTATAAATTTCTTCTTTTTTTTTTCTTTTGGCATAAGCCTGTAAATCTTTGTAAATACCTGTAAAAACCTGTTGCCCAAATGCAGTTTAAAGCATGATGTAATAATATATATTGGCCGTGTTCTGATATTCGCTGCCAGTACTGAAAATCTATAGTGTATGTCATATACACTATAGATTTTCAATACTGGCAGTAAATATCGGAACACGGCTATTATTACATCATGGTTTATAGCATACATAAAGCCGGTATTAGACATGAGATTATACACAATTTTCAATGCATCTGATGTCCGATTCTGACTTACAATATTACTAGATTTTTCAATATTGCCCGCACTTATTGCCACTCATCTTCACTCACAAACCACCCGGCTCACGGAGCCGGGTGGTTTTTACGCTCTCCCGGGTGAATAGAGTGACAATTTGAACGTCTCACTTGAGAGTCCGGCGAGAGCACTTGGGAGGAATCTGAACGCTCTCTGGGTGTCTGGGTGCACCCGGGTGGGGAATCGGAACACAGCC